CAAATCAGTTTGATTGATATTCGTCATTATAATATCAATGAAATGATAAAAAAAAGAGATATATCAATCTCAATTTGAACACAATCCTTCTAAACAAGAACCAGTTTTCCGTGAGAAATGTTTGGGAGCAGACCAGTGGAGAGCTTCTCTGGGACCCAAAAATAGAGCAGCCCCTTAGCCATCTTGGATTTGACTTTTTTCCAATATATTTTGAACAAATGAAAATTTTACATTCTGTTAGTAAAAATAATATTAATTTTATAAGGATAGGAACAACTCTATGTTTTCTTCAGACTCGGGAAAAATCTCTAACTTTCTCCTCTCGACGGTCCTGCATATGAAGCATCGAGAGGACCTTTTTGATAGATCTCCATGCCTTGAATTGCCTTATCCCATCAATCTAATTAATTCAAAATACACTTTCATATATTTTTACAGGCTAAAAGTTTATACATGGTAAAAATCATTTTTATAATGTATTGAAATTTCCTATCTGCAAAAACTTACATTTAATGCTTGTATGCAGCATTAAAATATTATTATTATTACTATTATTATTAACATTGATTTATTAAAATTACAGATGTAAATTTTGGAAAATATTAAAGAAAAAACAACTAATCATTTTTGAATCATAAAAATCTATACTAATATAATAAAGAGGTAATGTTTGTATGTTAGTTTGTATGCAGCAGGTAATCTCCAAAACTACTCATCCGATTTCAAAAATTCTTTCACCAATATTTAGAATGGAACCTCAGGGTGGACATAGGCTGTCGAATACATGTCGAAATTACCCCATTGGGGGGAGAGGGACAGGATTAAGGCTTACTGTGAAAAACTTGGCTTCTATTATACTATTTTAGATGCGGGTTTTTGCGTTTTTGATTGCGTTTTAATAGGGTACGTCAACAGAATGTACACTAAGAAGGGATTTTTCGATATTCCCCCCGGGGGGGGAGGGACAGGATTAAGGCTTACTGTGAAGAACTTCACTTCTATTATAAAATTTTAGATGCGGGTTTTTGCGTTTTTGATTGCGTTTTAATAGAGTACGTCAACAGAATGTACAGTAAGAAGGGATTTTTCGATATTCCCCCCGCGGGGGAGAGGGACAGGATTAAGGCTTACTATAAAAAACTTGGCTTCTATTATACTATTTTAGATGCGGGTTTTTGCGTTTTTGATTTCGTTTTAATAGGGTACGTCAAGAGAATGTACACTAAGAAGAAATTTTTCGAAAAATTTTCTCCCAGGGAGGAAGTGTTATACATTTAGGCCTATAATAGATACATTTTGAGCCACAACAAGGCGTGGCGGGGTCTGCTAGTTTGTAATAAATTTAGAATTTATTCATTAAAAAAGATATTTGTCCTTAGAGATTCGTATTAAAGATTTTTAAGTCAATAAAATAATAAGCGTGCCAAACCAGTTTTACAATTAAAGTCAAAAGAAAAAATTATGATAAAATTTGTTTTGTAATGTGACAAGATAATGCCATAATTTATCCTGGAGAACTATTAGTGGATAATTATAAAATATATATACTTATTATTTAACATATAAAAACTAATAACATCAATTCACGTATTGCATGTATTGCATTAGTGTTAAATGAATTTTGTTTTTAGCCAGGAAAAATTTAAAATAAGCTAATTATAACGTGTTCATACAATAAGTAATTTGTTTACTTACAATAGTTAAACGTGCGTAACCGGAATCGTAACGTACTGAAGTCTCCCGTTTAAGAACGTTTTCGTTTTATTCACGTAGACAGGTTTTACTGTATTGTGAACTTTTTCTTAAAAAAACGTCAACCACATTTCAATTTTATCATTTACTTTATTAAACGAGCAGAAAAACATAAATTTTAGTGTCAACACTTGCAACTTTTAAAACTAGTTTTGAAGTAAATAGATAAGTTTTTCTTTATAAAAAGAAAATTGATTAATTGAAACTAAATAAGAGATTTTAATCAGGCTGTAATCTGGCTAATTAATTGTAGATATTAAAGAAAATAATATTCTAATTGAGCATTATAAATATCAACCTAATATTAAGATTGATACGTTAATAACTACTATTATTCAAAGACCTATCAATTTAATTGACTTATGCTTGATAAATATATGCTCCATTCAATGTTGCAAACTACAGTAAACTAACTCTATAACTGATTAAGTGAAAGAAATGAAGGAATACCGTCATTAAATACCTCTGGATTAAAATACCTTATAAATATTTAATTTTTGAAATTCTGCACATAAAATAAGATAATAAAGTAAATTAAAATTTATTCATATTTTTTTTTATTGCTTTATTTTATGAAAAGATTTTAACGTATATTTTTCTTTGTAAATTAGTATTATATAGGCCTACATAATATCAATATGATTAATGAAAGAATAATTTTTGAATAAAATATCGAAGTAAATTTCTATATCTAACAAGTAAAAATTCGTTACGTTTTTACATTTTGCATCAAAATTTCAATAAATAATAATTAATTTAAAAAAATAAATGTACTTTATTAAACAAATACAATTTTGAAACTGTAAATTACTATTTCGTGATAAATGGTATTGTTTTTATACAATAAAATTCTTCCATCTTGAAAACTCGCATACAATATTTTTATTAGAGAACTAAGAGTAGATGAGAAAGTGAATGTAAAAAAAACTTCTCGCAAAATTTAATGTTGTTCATATATCGTTTTTAATAATTTTTCTTTTTTAAGTTTTATATAATTTTATTCATGCGAATACAAGAATAATAAGTTTAACTATACCGCTAAACTCTACAACTAATATCTAACGTAATAATAATACATATTAAAACTACTTGGACCTATTTAAAAATCATTGGAAAAAAAAAAGGTTTTTAAATAGATCCAAATTGCTATATTTGTTATAATTTAACTGGCTTCTTAGGTTATAAGAATTGCATATTTTATAAATTTACATAAATTATAAAATCAAAGTTTAGTTTTTAGAATTACCGATATGGAAACATCTTATAAATCACAAAAGTTTGATTGTGAAAACTGAATGTTTTTATTGGTTAATAAAATAAACATCTACGTGAGATTTATTTTTCAATTGAATTCTGTTTGTACAATTGATTAAAAAACAAAAATATTAATTCGAAACCAGAAAAATCCCAGCCTATTCAGAAAATTATCTATGTCATATGATTGAGGGGTTAAGCCAGCTCTCGGTAAGTACGCATAAATTATATGGTTCAGTGAGAACCGCTGGAAAAAGATGGGCATTTATTTATTAGTAATCTAACTTGTTCATTAATTTATAATATGCTATTATTCAATTTAGTCTTTATATCATCTCTAAAATAATGTTATATTCTTTCATACAATAAATATAACATTATTTTAGAGATGATGTAAAGACTTATGAATGCAAATTAAAATTATTTTAAGATGTAATATTTTTCTAAAATAACCATATTTCTTTAAAAAGCTTCATAACTTGTGATAATTGATTACACATTAATTTTTGATTTTTAGCGGGAAGAGAGGCTATCTTACAAGTTTTGGATCTATTCAATCATTAAAGTAAGATCGTGTATTTATTGTAATTAAGATAAATTCGATTAAAATAAAAACATTTTTGCATTAATTTTAATAAATTTGTAATATTGAAGTACAGTTAAATTTTCAAACTTTAGTATAGTTATCTTTCACTGAATATCATCCATTAGTTTCGTGAATTTTATTATAAGTAATAAATTAATACGATTAATAACCGAAATAATTTAATAAAAGACTCACACATTAAGTAATTTAAGAAATAAGAACTTAATACATAATTATTTAAGAATATTATGTGTATATAGCATATATAGATGCTATGGATATGTTACAGAATTATAATGGGCATTATAAACAAAGCCCTGCCATTATGAATATTGACAACTAGCATTGGTCATTATAATAAATTTTATGTTTATAATAATAATTTATCACATTGACTGATCAATACGAATAAAGCTATCTCCTGTCAGGCAAACAGCTTTTTCAAATCAAACAGACAAAAGAAATGTAGCTTTATGCATAATGTCTGGTCAATTAACTAAATTAATCAATATTTATCAGGCTGCACAGCCATTTTAGTCATGATTTATAATAGCCAGGAATTATGAATAATAACCAATTAATCATTTGCTCATAACATATATAAGACAAACATGTTGGCTCTATAAAAGTATAAATTAGTAAATTTTCATAATTTATGTGAAACAATTAATTTTCAACCAAAAACTTAATTTTTTTATTCAAATAATTATTGCATAATGTACTAATATTAACATAAGTCCTAAAATAGTAATGTAGCTATGTAGCTATATTTGCTGGAAATCTAAATATATAAAATTACTTGTCCTGACTGACTGACTGATTGACTGACTGAGTCACTGATTCATCATCGCCCAGAGCAAACCGCTAAACCTAAAGAGGTGAAATTTGGTACACAGTTAGGGTACGCAATGGGAATGCACACTAAGAAGAGATTTTTCGAAATTCCTCCCCACGGGGAGAGGGACAGGATTATTAAGGCTTAACCGGAAGAACGGCTTCTACTGTACTATTTTAGATGCGATTTTTTGTTTTCAACTACGTTTAGTCTTTATTGAGTACTAGGTGTATTAAATTGATAACATTTCAGACATTGTTATAAATATTTTTATATATTTCAATTTTTTAACCAAATGTTTGAACCGTTTTAAATTCGAATTTCTTTTTGCGTATTGATTCGATTACAGAACGATTGTAAACGTTCCAGAAAACTGATCAAATTGAAAATAGTAGGCTTGATTCTGAACAATTCTCATTATTCTCAGCGGTAAGTGTTATATAACAATTACTATGAACAATTGAATATAAATGGGGTTTGCTTGCAAAACCTTCGCGGGCGAAGTCGCGAGTAACAGCTAGTACATTCATGTTATTAATTGAAGTTTAATAAAATATTTTTCATTTACACCAGTTTATTTCATAATTCATAACAAAAACTTATTCATTATCTTCTTGGCAGGATTTTCATTTTCAGTGGTACTTTTGGACGAAGAACTAATTCACTTCCCACAAGAATTCGATCTCGTGGATCTAAAGACACTAAACTATATTTACGCAATACTCGAATAATTATTACTTTCACTGATAGTTGAGCATACTTCTGGCCTATTAATAAAGATTTAAGCATTACACACTATTATTTAATAAATTTACAAATGAACAACTACGTATAGAATAGACATACCTATACAATTTCTAGATCCTGCAGAGAACGGTATATATGCGAATGGGTTTCTGGAATGAGAATTTTCCACGGAAAATCTATCGGGATCGAACACTTCCGGATTTGGAAAAACTGTAGGATCTCTATGAAGTTCGTACAAATATAACATACAAGTAGTCCCTCGCGGAATGCAATAATTGCCTACAGGTTAAAAGTTTAATTATATAAAGTTTAGATATTTGAAAGGCATCTACAACAATGCGACAATCAAACATATTCAAGCAAGTTAGTTAAATATTTAACTGATAAATATTAAATTCTACAATCTTTCTTTCAGCCGGGTGACTGAAACATTTAAAGATGGGTTTGCAATTCGCTCGATCAGAATCGACTCAATTTGAAAACGTTCACCCTAATAACCGATAATTGGTGGCCGTTTTCCTTTAAGCCAATAAAAATCGTTAGTACAGTTTCTCTAAGTAAGGAATGATATCTGCCGAGTATGATGGTCGCGCGCCTCAAAACTGTGATAAAACATTTATTACTACAAAAATGTAACAATTTAAATTTTATTGTTGATTTCATAGGGCACTTACGTTATGTATAATTAGTCTACTTCATCTGCAGAACCGTGACGATAACTAAGATAATAGCGATTTCGACAAGCAATTCCATAACATTTCGTTGAACGAACAATATAACTTACTGTATATTTTCGAATTGTATTTAATACAGTGCGTATATAAAAATAGTATTATGATTATACAGTACAGATTAAATGCAATAGTAATTCAAAAACTTATTTTTATACTAGAAGACGAAGATACATTGTTTAAGTATATCTCGTCACCATTTCAACGTTGTGTTTAAAATAGGAAACACCAATATAATTGACAACGTCCTCTAATGTTAATATTTCAGCTTACCTGCATAGGCATATTTCAGCTTACTTAGAATACCTTCACAGAATTGCATTATGTTTAAAATAATGGCTGACGATCACAATAAAAAAATGAGAAGGCGATATCAATTAAGACAACATGATGACGACATATTAAGATATTAACGAAAGAGTAAGCTTACTTCCTCATAGTAGAACCTTCTTTCTGAAACAAGGCAACGAAATGATAATAGTATGTACTATTGCCAACGTGCTGCATTTGGAAGACAGTTCTCCATTGAACTGTATTGTCTTCCCGTTTTCCGTTAGAATACTGTAGTTTTATATATATGTTTTTGTTTAATTTTACTTTATTATCTTTAAAATTACCGACAAGTGACGTTCAATATTTTAGTTTCGTATTTATCACTCACCACAGACAAAGACTCTACTATTAATTAGAATCGAATAAAAAAATAAAATTTATCGAGACAATCTGTGTATACATTTAACTTTTTAACTTTCTCCGTCATGTGGGCACTAAAATGAATCTCTAAAAAGAATCTCATTAGTGCCTGTGGGCACTAATAAGATTTTTCTTAGCATTTTCGTTATAGGATGACCAAAAGACTCCAGAAAGTTTGTCACGTACATATTGCATTTCTCCCTCGTCATCCGACCGATCCATTATGGGCCCAGCCGATACCACGATAGGTATGATTCAAAGGCCCTTTTCGTGCCCACAGAGCGAAAATAGTTAAAACTTTAAAAAAGTCTTTATTTTGGAATTTACTAGTAACAGATAAGAATTAACTCTAAATTCCCATTATAATATTAAACGATAACAAAACTAATCATTGAATTACCAACTTGTACATCTTCTAATAACTCTCTCCCTATAAAAGGTACACTCGGGTAAATTCGTAAAGATTCCTAAATGAAAAGAACGAAAAAGTATTAAATATTATTTTAAATATAACATTATTTTGTTTAAAATAAACTTTCTTTTAACACGCAATCCAAATATTTAAAATGTTTTAAGTGTTCCGGTTGTACAGGACTATCGTTTTCTTCTCCGAAGAACAAGTCAATTTCATCTTGCAATTTTTTCTGTATATCTGGATGAAGACCAAGAAGATAGAAAATCCAGCACAGATTAATAGCCGTGGTATCGTGTCCCTGTGTATGAAAAATACCTTGTAGAGTATCAATTTATTCTACAAATTAACTAATAATAATATATTGAAACTAACAGCAAACATGAAGAGATTAATTTCATTCAAGATATCATCTTCTGTCAAACTGCGATCTCGAAAATAATGATGTAGAAGCAGGTCCATGAAGACTTTTTTCTTTTTAAAACTTTCATTGACAGCATTATCATTAAAATCGTGGGATATGTTGTGTTTTGTTGTTAGAAATTCTTGCTTTTTCTTCTCAAATATCTGCAAATAATCAGATAAATTTGCATTATATTTGTTTGATTTATATATTAATAATAATATAATAGAATATATAGGGTTTATAAAAGGCTTTTCAAGACATCAAAAAAGAATGAAAAAATTTTATCTATATTTTTAATATAATAGATTAGAGTTTCATTTTAGTATTATAACATAGTTTACATCTATTATAATTTACGATAGTTGATAATATTCTGCTGTTACAATTAATATTATCGCGTTCAAATTATGATCAAATAAAATAAGCTAACGTTCAGTACTTTGTGCTGGGTATTATTTCTTAGTACTGTATAATTAAAAAGATTGATCAAGCATACGTGTTGCGTAGTCTTTTGGGATGGGTAAGTGCGGCGTCGTTATAGAGCGTTACATAATTTAATGACGATCCTTTATTCAAAAATTTAGATCAAAAATATGTTTACACAGAAATATTTGCTAATGTCCAAAATTAAATGAATAAACGCATTTTTGAATAAAACTCTAACATTAGATAAGGAGACAAAAAATAGCAAACGTAAATTTATATCTATAAATTTATTTTATAAATTCACCTATCACAATCATTTGATTTCAACACCAAAAGTATTCAAATTTTTAATTATTGTTGATAAACGCTGGATGTTGGCATATCATATCTCTATTATTCTTTCACACATTTAATTAAAATTTCACACATTTTGAATAAATTTTGATAAACAATTATGTGAAGTCATTACTTCAGTGAAGAGAGTAGTCTTTCTAAAGACAATCAGTGGCATGTTTCCCTCTTGCATTTTGTTATGGACGAGCGCACTTCAATTGGTATAGTGAACATCAGTTCTGGACCCTAGATTGGTAGGCCAATGTTATCTTCAGTAACGAGTCGCGATCCATTCTAGACGCTGATTCTTGATGAAAAAACCTAGAACCCGCTCGATCCCACTAATATAGTACCCCAAGTTTCAGAGACTGTTTGAGGGAGGAGGTCTCGTGGTTTGGACAGGCATCATTTTGAACGAACGTGTTTCAGGGAGGCATCCTGACTGCTCAAAGAAAGAGGGACTGTATTCGTAAACCCTATGTAAACTTTTAAGGGACGCAATTGGTCCCAATTTATTTTATGGGTGATAATAATTGTCTATATATGGTAGTGCTGGTTGATGAAGTTTTCAAAAGTGAGGATATTCAGAAAATAAATTGGCCAGCCAGGTCTCCTCACCTGGATATGATAAACTTGTCTGGGATGCCCTAGGTAGACGCATTAGGTCTCGTCACCCTCTCGAAACCTTCGCCAAGCTAACAACCGCTCTTTTGGAAGAATGGGATTTATCGCCATAAGACTTCCTCCAAAGCCTGGATTTCAGCTTGAAAGTTCATTGTGAGAGTTGTACAGAAGTTGGAGATCATTCTTCCTATTGAACTGTTATTTTTTCGAGGATGGCTGTTTTATTATTGTATATATTCGGCGTAATTTGCATATTTGGTATTTTGCTTGATCATTTTTTATCCATATGGCTTGGTTTATTATTCGTTGAATAAACTATTGTTGTACAAATTTTTTAAATTTCAGTAAAGTAATATATTTGGTAGAAAATAATAAATTTTATGTTCGTTCACTTAATTTTAGACACTAGTGTGTAAATCCTATATTATATATACAGTACGAGAGCACCATTATTTTTACAGTACTTGTAAAAATAAAGGTGCTCATGCTATTTTTATCCAAATATTTTTATCATTTATGCAATATTCTTCAAAATTATACATTATCTAAAGTTTACTCTGTATAATATTTTTAATAGTAGCAATGTAATTTTTAAAGTAAATAAAATCTTACTTGTTTTCCGAACATCTTGAGACCTTCTGCATGGTATAGAAATTGCTTTCCAGTTGTCGTAAAAAAGAATAAAATATCAAACCATAGCCAGGGTTTAATTGCTCTAGATAAGAACAGTTCTCCTACTCTAAAACACGTAAAATTGTAATATTTAGTAGTATCATCATCTTACGTAACAGTTTTAACAACATAAATGTATACAGTTTAGTTCCTTGCAGAAAATTAAAAGGGTAAGAGTAATAGTTTTCCTTTAATTGATTTACATTGTGGTTTAGTTCTTCATGTTTCATATCATCTTGCCGCTTAGAAATGAATCAGTTCCATTAGTTATTTTCGAAAATTTATTTAAGTTTTGCACTAGACTGTGACAATGTACATAATTTATCAATAAATTTATATACGTTTTTGAAACCAACTATTAAAAACATACCTTTCCAAATTACTTCTATATCCTCTGTCTTGACAAATTTGTGAATTTAATTTTACACCCATTGCTGTTTCTATAAAATATATTGCGTATAAATCAGAATAAAAAAGTTATAGATAAAATATATGATAATGTATACAGGTAACTAACCACAGATAATATCTAGATTGCATCTAGTGATAATCGGTACGATATCAACCCAATCGTGGTCAACGCAATTGTTCATTATATCTAACATAACTGAGCAATGATCATTGAAAATTGGGAAAAAGTCTTCCAAAATTTTAAAGTGAAACGAAGGAGTAAGAAGTTTTCTTCTGGCTCGCCATTTCGATCCAGAGCTTTATTTGAAAAAAAACAAAATTTTAGTACAATACTTGTAAAGTACAATATTTCTTTAGCATTATACCTCGTAAATAATCCATCCTTAAGCCAGACGTTAAGAAATCGATATCCTTTGTCTTTATAAATGTTCACATTGCTGCTTAAAATTGTCTTAAAAAAATAAAAATTAATATTTTAGCTTTTATCGAATCAAAATTTATATTTATAATTCTCACCTCTAAAATTTCAGCTTTATAAATTATGACAACAGGATATATCCCTATATACGTGCGAAAGAATCCAATTTTGCGATATACTTCCGCCCAAGAACTCAATAACTGAAGATGCCCTAAAAATATTCAATTTTTTAAATAGTAAATTGTTCTCAAACACCGATAATTAATTATATGATATCGACCAAAATATAAACATTTACAACTAATTTTGTATTTATTTATAACATGGGAACACGACTACTGCTGTTAAACCGTAGATGTGTATTGTATGCTTATAACATATTTCGGCGTCAAAAACTGACACAAATTAATTATAAGGCAATAACCGAGAATTAAAAGTAAATATTTCATTATAATAAAATAATCAATTCAAGTCTATTGTTATTTTCTTTGAAACGTCGAGTAGAAGATTCTAATAATATATCCCCGACATCTTTATTTTAATTTGAATCGAGTTTGTTCGTCAGAAAAAATGCAAGAAAGCATTCACCTACCTCTGTTTATTTTCGGGTTTATGTTTATTATTGTAATTTCAATTCGACATAAACTTTGGCAAGAAGTCATTTCTAATAAAATTTATTATAAATTTTATAGTACTTGAGATTGATAATTTATATAATTAACAATTGAAGGTTGGTGACCTCCTTTCATTTCGTTTTTTCCACTTCGTTTGCAATTCATTACCGCCTTAGGCTTATTTACTATTAAAGGAAACTTTAACCGTATTCACCTGAAGTGTTTATTAAATTTATTCTGAGATTTTTATATTCATTTCCATGAAAGCCACAACATAAATTATTGTTAAGATGTCTTAATTATATTTATAACTGCATAAGTTATATATAAAAGTACTCTGTAAATGATAAACAGACTTATCCACATATAATATTGGATAAAATTACAATAAATTCAGTTCAAATCGGAAATAAATTTTAAGACATCAACCTCAATTTGAACTGATAACATTTCATGCTTTGAGAAATCTCATTTTACTTTTGTATGACTACAAATAGCGTTATGTCTATAAAATTAAACAATGCTAGAACTGTAAAATTTACCGGCTAATACACCAAACACACGCTTAATCTGGGAATTGCTTTCTCTTCTGTACTGATACTTAGAATGCAATATTCGCAATATTAGAATGAAATCGCAATATTCAGAATACTACATTTTGATTCCAAAATTCAGAGAAAAATTAAAATTATAATTTATTTTACTACGTTATTATTGTTATAAAAGAAATTAAATACTATACGTTTTATGACTGCAGTAAAAATAAATAAATTAATTAATTAATCGTTAAACACAATTTATAGATGATTTATGAACATTCGTTCAATCGGGAAAAGTTCTGCATTAAATTAATACTGTACTGTGAAGTCACCGAATTTGAGATAACCAAATGTCGGATGTGGGGTGAAGAAAAGTGAGGCAGACAGCTGCAGTTACAGGAAAATCCGTTTTTTTGTCGTTTGGTACGACTTTCATTGACATCTATCATCAATGTTTATGCCGTCATCTATTTTCGTTGGCAAATAAACGTTTGTTTTATGTGTAAATAATTTTGCGCCAGCGATTTTTTAAAATGTCGAGTGTAATTGAGCAAAGAACGTGCAATAAAGTTTACTTTTGCAACGGAACTACTGCTACAAAAACATTAAAAATGTTACAAAACCCTTCGATGACGATAGTCTATGAAAAACAAGTTTTCGAGTTGTACTGTACAAAATGTTCGAGGAAGGCAGAGAACGCGTCGAAGATCAACCGTGCTCTAGTAGACCATCCACTTCAACTGATGAGAAACATGTCGCTCAAATCAGATTTGGTGCTCGAGGGGCTTTGTTTAGCAGTTTGTCTTCTTTTTATGGTGCTGGGGCTTGGGAAGGAGGGGCTATATTTTTTGTGTGATCGTCGTTTAACAATAAGAGACATTATTGATGTTCTAGTATCATTTGAACTTGTCGAGCAATTTAAAAGATTATTTAGGCTTGCGGTGCGTCGCTTCTCGAGTCGTTCCAAAAACGTTAAATTTTTTCCAAAGGTAAAAACTTGTTCGAGTAGCCCAGGAAATGCTTTCTCGAGGCGAATCGTTCGTAAAATGCATTATTATGGGTGATGAAACGTGGATCCAGGCTTTTGACACCGAAAAGGCTCAACAATCCAGTGAATGGCGTTCGAAAGGTGAAGCAAGATTGAAAAGACCACGTCAAAGTCGGTCAAAAATTAAGGTCATGTTGACTGTTTTCTTCGCTATTCGTGGTATTGTGCATCAAGAATTCCTTCCGACTTGCTCAAACTTTCAACGAAGAAAATTATTTGAGTGTTTTGCGTCGTTTGTATGAAGCAATTCGTAGAAAACGAACGAGTTATGAAGCGAAAACTTGTGGATTTTGCATTACAATAATGCACCTGCTCATAATGCTCTTGCTGTTGGCACAATTAAGCAAGCTTCATATTCACCTGATACAGCACCGTGTGACTTTTTCCTGTTTCTTCAACTAAAATTTTCGAGCAGTTAGGGTGACAGAACTGGAGTACTCGGGAAAGAATCCATACGGATCTGAAAGATCTAAAAAACCCAGGAATTTTTCCGGAGCAATGGTTCGTCTCGAATATGTCGGGCACCGTCCCTTTCCACTCGAGCGCTTCATTGTGGGCCTGATAGAACCCACAAAAAGCTTGATTAAAAGGCTTTCTTAATGCCCACACGGTAAAAAGAGTAAAGCAAAACTTGAACAGCAAAATTGAATGGTGTTTTGGTTAATAACAACATTTAGTTTTAATAGGCGCCCATCAGTTGCCGAGTGAATAAAACCATTGAATACTAGTAGTTGGTCGTGGATTCGCGCCTCGCCAACAGGAAGGCAACTGTGTTGCGTTGCCGTAATCGAATAAAACTAGTTTCAATATTTTAGATTTTAGTTTTAAAATAATCGTTTTTGTATTGATTATAAATATTTGCAAATTTTACTTCAATTTAGAATGTAAAATATTTAAAGGTAAATTATGGTATTTTAGCAAGGATGTGGATAATTATTTAAAGATAGCCAGCCATACGCTTGTAAGAAAATTCGCCACATCTATTATGAAGAGAAACACTGAAAAAATGAAAATAAAGTACAAATTGCTTGATCCCTTGTGCCAATAAAAGCTTAATTCACACTGAGCGAATAGCGAAAGCGAATGCAAAAAGCGAAAAGCGATTTTTATTCGCTTAGCGAATACAACCAAAAGCGAAAAGCGATTGGGAATTTTAAGCAGCCAATCATTTGCAAGCAAGCGAAAACGTCATCTCGAAAAAGAAAAGGGCCGCTTCCGATATTCCGTCGTTAACCACATTTGTTTATTTATTGAGAAAGGAGGATAAGACGAAAAGAAAACGAAGATGTGTGAGAGAAATATTAAAAATCCGTAATTACAACATTTATTCTAATGCGTGAGAAAGTTTCTGTAGCCATCTTGAAAACAACAAGAACCACGTGGCAACTAGCGGGAATACCATTGGTGGCAAAATTTTTTTGCTAGCAAGAAAGCTGAACAGTTCCGAATTTCGAAGCGATTCGCGAAATGATAAAATTCGCCGGAAACGACGTCATGTCTGACGTGTTATTCGCTCTGTTTTTCGCTTTCGTCAGCGAATCGCGCTCAGTGTGAACTAACCTTTACTGTAATGCGATTACAATTTCTGGTGTCAAAGAGAGACATTACGTCTTGGTATTCAATTGTCTTGTTTAGTGTTGTCAATTTAGCTAAATTTAGTGGATTTATGAACAAGTGGGAATTATCAAAATTATTGCCTAAATATTCCTATGACTCTAGTTATCAATAGTCAAAGAGTTATAATAGAAACAAAGGGATTTGATATTTTATATAAATGTCTAGCTATAAGTTGGGTTCTGAGTTGACAACACTAGGATTGTTTGCTGTGATTAGTTCTAATAAAGATCATAGATTGCCGAGCAGTTAAAGTGTCGGTCTACTTTTTCAGGGAACCCAAGAATGAATCTGGACGGGTCGAAAAACTCCAGGAATGCTTTCTGGGATGGTTTGTCAAGGATATTTCAGACTCCGTCCCTGACCACTTTCTGCCTCATTTTGCGCCAAATAGAATCCATGATAAGCTTGATAAAAAAGGCCATCAGAGCAAAGTCATAAAAGCTAAAAAGGATTACATCCGGAAACACGTCATAGCGCTAGTTCTCAAGAACAATAACATTTTGAAATCAAGGAGTTTTCAATTCTTGCATTCCAATATCTTTACTTTGAATCAATTTTTGTAATTTTACTATAAAGTGAACGTAACTATGTTAAATTTATCTGACTTAATTTAAAAATAAAATAGGAAAAGAAGTAATAAAACCTGTTCATATCGAAAACCTGCAAAAACGTAAAAAAAAACTATACTGTTAGATTCCTGTCTATACAGGCTTAAACATAAAATATTCTGTAGATCTTATTGTGATAACTCTACTTTGCATAAAATCGTTGCCACGTTTATTTTTATACGATACACTTTTAAAACAGATTTTAAAAAAATTAACAACTGGTATTTAAAAGTTTATCTCTTTATCATTTAGTTTTTCATTTTCATATGAATGGAATTATTTATGGATTATTATAAAGTTATTATTATTATCTATTTATAGAAATTTCCCATTTCCTAAATTACACACCCAACTCTTCCACCAAATTAATAGTGGGCATTTTTGTCTTTTTTACTGTAGAGCGAAGTAGGCCTACGCCACAGTTTGGTCATACATATAAATCCGATGTTGTTACTATTTTTTAAATCTTATAAAATAATTATTATTTTCGGGAATTATTCTAATAATTAATTTTCATTTATTATTATAGCTTCTTGTCCTTTATTTCCCTTTTCCTTATATTTTTTGAGAGAAATTTGTTTAATGAGAAAATCTTTTACATTATCGTTTCAAATGTAAGAGGAAAAAACCTTAAATGTACTGTACAATACATTTGTTTGTTTGTACAATATTGTAATTGAAATTTGTTAAAAAATAAAAATTCCCTAAAGAAACATGATGTAATAAGTGCAAAACTAATTGCCAAATACGTATATAGGAATAAAATATAAACAATAATCAATTTT